TTATTTACGGACTTTTACGGTATCTAGGAATTTTATTCCTGTAGCTATGCAAAAGACGTTACTTTAGCAGTGTCTGGTGCTAGCCAGGGTCCACAACTCTTTAATCCGGTGTCTGTTTTTATCTGTGTGTGGTAAGGCCTTTCACGTGACGCGCCATGGTTGGCGCTGTATCCCGTATGTGTCCCGTACCGTAAAATGAGTATGTAGTGCGCACCGTGGTGTAGATCTTAACACAGCATCTGGAGCGCCATACAAGTTAAGATAATGTTGGGGAGAATATGGAGACAACATGCAATGGGAATGTGAACGTCAGATTTTTTTAGAAGGGGGTTAAGCGGAGTAAGAAAAGGCCCCAGCTTTGGCTACTGGATGCTAGCCCGATGGGTGCCAATCTCCTGCCTTTGGCCGAGTGCTGATCGAGCAGATGTAGAAGAAAAAGAAAGAAGAATATTGCGTTCACGAATACGATTTGGGTAAAGGAGAATACCAGTAAGCGGCTAGTTAACTAAAACTGTTGACTTTTGTGGATTTATAAAAAGTAAAAAGGACCAAGGAACTACAAGTTACACTGTAATGTCCACGAACACCACCAGTTACTAAACAATCAGCTCATTTTTAATAATCTTTGGCTCTCCATCCGAGTTCATTTTTGTGGATTTGTTTTTTAAAGACTTTGTCGTATTGTGTGTCGAATAATTAGCGGTATGGTTTAGATCGCAGTATTGTGATGGTCGCGGTTTGATTTAAAAAGACCTTTATAGAAGGTGTCGCATTATCGTTCAAATGTTTAGGGGTGTGCTACTAATGCGCCAGGAATGTAAAGATAGGGTAGATTGCAGTGTTTTAATGGGCGCAGTTGTTGTATAAATAGAATGCTGAGATCATAAATAGAGGACCGTGATGAAGAGCAAAATAACAGGGGTGACAGTTTTGAAGCGGTGGGCAGACGGCGTCGGCAGGAGTGCCTACACAGAGAGTAGAAGATGGGAGAAGAGAGGTCCCAGCGCCTCGAGAGTCGCCGTGCTTGCGAAAGGCTATGCCGACGGCAAGAAACGATGGAGAATATATTATGTCGTTTGGAGACTTGCCAACTTTGTGACAAGATGCGTCAACAGCAAGAGACCGCTGAACAGGCATCCAGTTGGCAGGAGAAAAGACGTGATCTCATGCCCCAACTTGTTCGATGTGCGGTCGGTAGGACCATCATCACGTGCATGATAACCTAAGCAAAAAACTTGAAAAAAGCATAGCGAGGGCCCTGAGCTTTCAAGCTCTCTCATTATCGGGCAGTCCCCACAGCCTAGAGTCTTTTTCACAGGTCACTCCACGTTGCGCCTGCCTGTGCGGAAAAGGGAAACAAACGAACTTCAGCAGGGAGAGAATACCAGCTTCAAAACAGCGTTTCTTGGAAGCCGCGGACAAAGTGCAGTCATACTGGTTATGCATTGCAGCCAGCCTGGTATGGTCCCATGCTGATGCTACAAGAGGCCCGGGGAAAACTATAAACACAACTACATTAATCTTGAAAGGATTGGGAGAACTCCAAATTCAACGGCGCAGTCGGGGAAGTGAACCACCTGAAAAGAGAAAATGGGCCAACCCTACCAGGACTCGAACCCGGGATCTTGCTTGCCACAAGCAATGCAATAACCCTCTGAACTATGGGACCAGTTGTACAGTTGTTTCAGATCCAATGCAACAAAGAGCAGTGTTCCTGCAACAAAGAGCAGTGTTCCTGCAACAAAGAGCAGTGTTCCTGCAACAAAGAGCAGTGTTCCTGCAACAAAGAGCAGTGTTCCTGCAACAAAGAGCAGTGTTCCTGCAACAAAGAGCAGTGTTCCTGCAACAAAGAGCAGTGTTCCTGCAACAAAGAGCAGTGTTCCTGCAACAAAGAGCAATGTTCCCGCAACAAACACAACTTTCAGCTGAGACTATATAAATTGTTTTCATTGTGAAATTCGTTCACACCGCCATGCAAAGTAGCACTCGCTGATCCTTCACACTAGAATTCTATAATACTGTCACAAACAGTAGTGGCAGACGGTGTTTGTTCTGGCTTCCTGTGCACCTGCAGAGAAGCAGCCAATAATGCTGGAGAGAATCCGCTTGATATCACGTGAACATGCTGAGAAGTTCGTGGACAAGAAAGTATGGTAAGGCGATGCTAAGTTACAGCTGCTCTAGCCTTCTAGGGTAAATGATAAATCCGAACCAACGTGCAAAGCTGACGCAGCCCTGGACCAGTTCCGATTACATCATTGCTGCACCTGTAGTGTGGATATGTACGTCCGGCAGTCTAAGCGCCACCTCCAGGGCGTCAAGGACTGCCGGTGCAAGTCCACGGCACCTAATTATCACTTACAACTTTTAGGGTCGGACTTCACCAAGCACAATCGTACTTGTATGAGAAGTATGTCCAGCCGAGCCGTAGATTCTCGCATGATGGTGACTCACGTGATGAGATTGTCCAACTCCCAGACAGTACTGGACTGCGCTTACTCCCGGTGGTAGTACTCCGCGGGCATCTGTGGGCAGCCAAGAACTAGCTAAGGAAGCCTGGGCTTGTTTACAAGAAACTACTTGTAAGAATCCAAATATGTACTTGTAACTCAAGTGGATGACCGTCAGAGCATGCACCAGCTTTTGACGCCAGTGTTACCAAAATTTAATATCACTACAGTGCAGTCCGGCGCCGAAGAACGCGGCTGAGGGCCCAAGAACGAACAGACTAGGACTTCACTCAGCACAGCATACCGATATAATAAACGCGGGGACTCAACTGTGCATAGACTTGTACATGAAAAATTAAGACTGGCCTAGGCTACAACTCCCCCCAGTTCCTCGGTACCCGACAGTACTGTAGACGCTGTCAAGTAGATCGGCAATGGAGCAGGCCGTGTCAAATATTTGTTATAGCCGTTGAGCGGTGTGACCAGTGATGACTAGTTCGGCCTGCGGGTTTTCTGCACATAGAGTTACTGCTCTCTAGTGCTCTCCTAGGCCATGTGTGGAGGCGTGTAGCTCGCATGGAGCACGGCGGGCACATGCACCCCCCCCCCCCCCCCCTAAAAACTTCGACCTAGATAAAGCATACACATAATGACCATGAATGACATGCACAAGCCATCCTACATGTATGCGGTCGTGCACCCCCCCCCCCCTAAAAGGGGGACCAGCTACGCCCCTGATGTGTGTGTGTGTGCACGTGTGTGTGTGTGTGCACGTGTGTGTGTGTGTGCTTGTGCACTGTTTTTGCAGGAACCACTCAATGAATACCGAGGCACGATGTGCATTTGCTCTGGGTCTCAAGAACTTGCTCAGCCCTGAAAAAATGGTAGGTAATGGTGAACGAACTGCATACTGCATGCATGTATGGAGCTGTCAACACCACCGTGACCACACTGCAACCACATACATGTACCTACAACTTCAGTACTGACCTAGTATTAGAGTGGGCATAGACAAGCGTATGTGTGTGTGTGTGTTGGGGGGGGGGGGGGGGCGTGGGTCCACTTTCAATGATTTTTTTTGATTTTTTACGAGATGCACAACTCACTGGCAGGCACATGGGGCTAGCATGCGGTGAGATGGTGCTGGTGGGGCCTGCCCGTCCTCAACCGACCAGAGGTCTCGACATCTTTGAATGTCAGGCGCACCGAATTGGGGGGGGGGGGGGGAACATAAGCATGACGGGGAAAAAGCACGGGAGAAAATGGAAGATTTAGAATGGAGAAGAGGTCCTGATTGGAACACAGCAGAAATAGCAATTAATCAAGGAGATAATATGAGTGAAAGGAGAGTGTCAAATGAAGGGTGCAATAGGGGTAGCAGTGGAATTTGGCTACTCAGGCCCGATTGGCAATAATTTGAATATGGGTCCATATTGATATGGCTGTGAGTACGCATACCTGCACAAACCCTGTTATTTTGCTCCAAACTCGAACCACTTTTGAAATATTTGAAGTTTGTGCGTGCATGCGTGTGTGTGTGTGTGTGTGTGTGTGTGTGTGTGTGTGTGTGTGTGTGTGCGTGTGTGTGCGCGTGTGTGTGTGCATTGTTTTACAGCTTGTTGCTGGATACCTCAAAGCACTGAAAGCACTGGCAAAAGAAAGCCATATTGATATAGCAACAAGTGAAAAAGGTGAGACGGACATATTCTTTTACGGGCAAAAGCAATGCAATAATAGTAGTAGTGTATTTGCCTGTGCATAGTGCCGCGCTTTTTTGATGTCATATGTCATGCCCCAAATTGCAGGTGCGCACTATTCTCCCAATATGAATATGTATGTACATGGAAAAGTAGTGCAATGCATCAAACTGTTGCGAAGTATGGTCACATGCGGTTCCGCTGGAGAGGCACCAGTCTAACTGCCGCAGAACCTCGTCTCCAACAACCCGCAACAAAGTGGTCAACGACCGAAAATCCCATTCGCTGCATCCATGTTTCCCTCGGGCCAGGCCACGAGTTCCCAATTAACTGGGCGTCGCAGCACGGCTGGAAAAAATCCTTCCACTTCCAAGCAGGACTTGAACCTGGTGCCCTCTGTTTCTCAGTTATGGTCTTAGACCATCCCACTATGCCTGCCTGCCACTAAAACATCGCCATTAGTGACCACGTTTCATTTAGATCCAGCCCTCAACTCCCACCAGCTCCCTGAGCTCGTTAGCCGGGTGGTGGCATGCAGACCGAGCTATACACTCCTGACACTGTACATGTAGTACCAACCATAACCCCAAGAGTATGGCTCGGTTCACATAAGCCAAATCGGTACCAGGGAGCACCGGCGGCGAGCCAGCTCCCGGTCCATCCCGCATACGGTTCGAGTACTGCTGTAGTACCAAGTCTACTACAAAGTAGTACAGAATGGGTCCAAACGCTACAACAGGATTGCCGATTGGAGCTTGAATTCTGTTTCTTCAGTAGTTCATGGGACAGCAAAGGTTCGGTAATGGCCACTTGGTGCTATCTCTTACTGCGGATCATGAAGCTACTTCTACAC